TGTGTTGTTGTGTTGTTTTTCATTTTGAGTAGATATGTTTGTACCTTGTGGGTTGTGTTATGGGCATGGGAATTTTGGTTAAGTTTCGTTGGTGGTTTTTGAGTTTTGTTGTTTTGCCGTTTTGTGAGTGTCTTGTTGTGTTGTTTTTCATTTTGAGTAGATATGTTTGTACCTTGTGGGTTGTGTTATGGGCATGGGAATTTTGGTTAAGTTTCGTTGGGGTTTTTTGAGTTTTGTTTCCTCGTTGGATGCCCCTAACAAATTTATATATATAGATATTCACAGTGCGGGAGACAAGATGGTAAGTTTTGAAATGGGGCTTTGAAATGGATGCTTCTCCTCACCTGAAGGGCCGGGAGGTATTTGGGCAGCTCTTGCTTGAGCTCGACCGGCGACGACATTGGCGATTCGGGGAGGTATTCCCCTTCCGTCATCGCGTTTGACTGCGGGGTCGCGTCCCCGGGGTCCTCCTCCTCGCCTTCGCTCCCAGCAGAATCCCGGTCAAACCTCGACTCTGTAACTTCAAACATCAGAATCACGTTGTGGAAGCTGGCGGACGCTTTGGGCGTTCAAAGCGTGAACATGACCGAACCGATTAGGGATGTGACCCAGTGTTTATAAAGTGGGGAGGAGGGATATGTCAGTCCTGGGCGATTTGGAAGGCGCTGAACAGGCTGCGCTCGGGCACCACGAGGTGCAGGGCCAACCTTCAGAAATGGGGCCACAATGTGGAGTCCACGACATGTGAGTGTGGAGAAGAGCCTGGGAGTCACTCTGGACCGTGCCCTTACCTACAAGAAGCACTGCCTGAATATCAAGCAAAAAGTGGGCGCTAGAAACAATATCATACGAAAGCTGACTGGCATAACCTGGGGATCACAACCAGACACAGTGAAGACATCTGCCCTTGCGCTATGCTACTCTGCTGCTGAGTATGCATGCCCAGTGTGGAACACATCTCACCACTAAAACAGTGGGTGTGGCTCTTAATGAGACATGCCGCATTATCACAGGGTGTCTGCGCCCTACACCACTGGAGAAATTACACTGCTTAGCCGGTATTGCACCACCTGACATCCGCCGGGAAGTGGCAGCCAATAGTGAAAGGACCAAGGCAGAGACATCTCCAGCTCATCCCTTGTTTGGGTATCAGCCAGCACGTCAATGACTTAAATCTAGAAATAGTTTTCTAAGATCAACAGAGACACTCGCTGGAACACCTCAGCAAGCGAGAGTCCAAAAGTGGCAGGCTCAAACCCAGAACCTCAACCAATGGCTGATACCAAATGGGAGACTCCCCCCTGGGCACACAGAAGACTGGGCGACTTGGAAGGTGCTGAACAGACTGCGCTCTGGCACCACGAGATGCAGAGCCAACCTTAGGAAATGGGGCCACAAAGCGGAGTCCATGACATGCGAGTGGGGAGAAGAGCAAACCACTGACCACCTGCTGCAATGCAACATGATGCCACATGATGCACAAGGGAGGACCTTCTCAAAGCGACACCAGAGGCCAGCTACTGGTCAAAGGACATTTCCTAGAATACCAAGTCTGCAAACTTTGTGTTTTGTTTGTTTGTTTGTTTTTAATGCAATACAACTGTTTTGGTTCGCTCTTGACACGATAAATAAATAAATAAATACCACGATAATGCAATATTATTAGTAATATTACATGTAATATAATATATACAATTATAATATTCTATTAGTATTATATTGTAATGTTATGATCGCTATTATATGTACATACAATATATTATATTATTTGCATAGCAGAGTATTTATTTATTATTTATTTATGTCCTTCATTTATATATCGCTTTTCTCAGGCCTTGGGCCACGCAAAGCGGTTAACAATAGCAAAATTCAATGCTCAACATCATAAAAACAGTTAAAAAACAGTTAAAAACAATGATATAATAAAGTTATGATATAATAAACATAACTATAACATCTCATTAGCATCTCGTAGGTAGAATCAAGATCCAAGATTATAAGAATCAAGAGGATTAGTATTATATATTACTATTATTGTACTATTCCGCTACAATGCAATATTATTAGTAATATTACATATAATATAATATATATAATTATATTGTTTTAGTATTGTATTACATTGTTAATTTAATGATTAATTAAACTATTGTAATATTACAATGAATAATATATAAATATTGTATTAGTTTTATATTGTAATGCTACAATCAATATTATATGTACATACAATATATTATATTATTAGCATACCACAGTATTGGTATTATATATTACTATATTGTACTATGCCACTATAATGCACTATTATTAGTGTTATAATTACTAATAATATAATAAAGTATAATTATATTGTATTAGTATTATATTGTAATATTACGATCAATATTATATGTACATATAATATATTATATTATCAGCATAGCGCAGTATTTGTATTATATATTACTATATTGTACTATCCCACTATAATGCAATATTATTAGTAATATTATAATTATAAATCTACAATTATAATATTGTATTAGTATTATATTGTAATATTATGTTGAATTTTATATGTACCTACATTATATTATGTTATTCGCATAGCAGAGTATTAGTATTATATATTACTATATTGTACCATACCACTATAATGCACTATTATTAGTAACATTATAAGTACTAATATGATATAATTATAATATTGTATTAGTATTATCAGCATAGCGCAGTATTTGTATTATATATTACTATATTGTACTATCCCACTATAATGCAATATTATTAGTAATATTATAATTATAAATCTACAATTATAATATTGTATTAGTATTATATTGTAATATTATGTTGAATTTTATATGTACCTACATTATATTATATTATTCGCATAGCAGAGTATTAGTATTATATATTGCTATGTTGTATCATGCCACTATAATGCACTATTATTAGTAATATACTTACTAATAATATATTATATAATATATACAATTATAATACTGTATTAGTATTATATTGTAATATTATGAACAATATTATATGTACATACAATATGTACATAGCAGAGTATTAGTATTATATATTACTATATTGTAACATACCACTATAATGCACTATTATTAGTAATATTATAATTACTAATAATGTAATATATATAATTATAATATTGTATTAGTATTATATTGTAATATTATGATACTATATATACATACAATATATTATATTATTAGCACAGTATTAGTATTATATATTCCTATACTGTACCATACCACCATAATGCAGTATTATTGGTAATATTACATATGATATATCTAATTATAATATTGTATTAGTATTATATTGGAATGTTACGATCTATATTTTATGTACATACAATATATTATTAGCATAGCAGAGTATTAGTATTATATATTACTATATTGTACCATTCCACTATAAAGCACTATTATTAGTAATATTATAATTACTAAAAATATAATTATAATATTGTATTAGTATTATATTGGAATATTATGATCAATATTATATGTACATACATAGGCTTTTGAATCCTGTGTGTTATTGTGATTTATATAATTTGGTATTGCTTTGTATTGTTTGTTTACTGCTTTTCTGTTTTGATGTGTTATTGGACTTGGCCTCATGTAAGCCGCTCCGAGTCCCTTGGGGAGATGGTGGCGGGGTAGAAATAAGGTATTATTATTATTATATTTTCGTTTGGCGGGGACGAGGGACAGGGCCTTCTCAGTGGTGGCCCCTCGGCTATGGAATGCCCTTCCCATGGACATTAGATCAGCCCCCTCGTTAATGGTGTTTCGAAGAAGACTGAAGACCTGGCTGTTTGAACAGGCGTTTGGATAAACAGTGCAATGAATATAATGAATATAGGAAAACGGAATTACGGATGACGAGTTGGATCACGATTCTAGTTACGAGATGTTAATGTGTTGTCTATTGATGTGTAATTACTTAGTATATTACGGTGTTAATTGTTTTTAAACAGTGTATGTTGTTAGCATTGAATTTTTGCTCTTGTTGTTAACCGCGTTGAGTCGCCTACGGGCTGAGAAACTGCGGTATACAAGCAAAGTAAATAAATAAATATATTTTCGCCTAGCACAATATTAGTATTATACAGGGTTAGTCAAAATGAATAGGCCAATAAGAAAATTAATTTTAGACGAATGTATGTTTATTGTAACCAAACTACAGCTACGTATCGACAGATAAACTATCAAAGTTTTGTCTCACCTTCAGAGATGTTCGATATGGGCGCCCCGTGTGACACGGCAGATGTCCAAGCGATAGTCCAGTTCATTCCACATCCGTTGCAGCACATCCGACGTAATGGCATCGAATGCAGCAACGTCTGGGAAGGTGTTCGTTGAGGTCCTAACCCTAACCCTACCCTAACCCTATCCCTAACCCTATCCCTATCCCTAACCCTAACCCTAACCCTATCGCTAACCCTATCCCTAACCCTATCCCTAACCCTAACCCTAACCCTAACCCTAACCCTAACCCTAACACCCTAACCCTATCCCTAACCCTAACCCTAACCCTAACCCTAACCCTAACCCTATCCCTAACCCTAACCCTAACCCTATCCCTATCCCTAACCCTAACCCTAACCCTTGAAATTCTCGCTGGACCGTAATTACTGACATTGTTTTAGCAAATGTCATCACACAAAACGCCTTCTCTTTGCTTGATTCCGCCATTTTGAAAACAGCGACCCCTAGCGACGCCTAGCGGCATTAACGTACATGTGTGTTGCTCAAAAAAAACTTTGATAGTTTATCTGTCGCTACGTAGCTGTGGTTTGGTTACAGTAAACATACATTCGTCTAAAATTAATTTTCTTATTGGCCTATTCATTTTGACTAACCCTGTATATTACAGAAAAAGTGCTACATAGGAAGACAAGAAATGGTGGCGGATCTGTGCGCTATTAAAAATGTGCAAAGGTGCATCGCAATAGAGAGAAAGGAACCCGGCACGTGTGATCTTACCAACTGGGATGTGGTCTCCGTTCTCCCTTTCCTCCTCGTCGCTCATTTCGTCTTCGCTCACCTCTTCTGGAAGGCAAACAGAAAGGGAGGCTTTGGAAAAAGGAAACTCTGTGATGGTGTCATCACACGTAACAACACCAGGTGAGTTAATGCTGTTCTGAACCACAACAAAGTCATAACTTTTGGCCAAGGGGTGCCCCTTGCTGTTTTATGGGTGCTGCGGAGACCTTGAATGGATCGATCACTCACCAGCCGACTGCTCAGACACTTCTTCGGAGTTGCTTCCCGTCTCCTCGTCTTCCTCTTCCTCCTCTTCCTCCTCCTCTTCGGATTCTTCGCTACTCGACTCCTCCTCCTCTTCCTCTTCTTCCTCCTCCTCCTCTTCTGAGCCGGAGGCGGACTCCCCTGCATCAGGATGATAGAATCATAGAGTTGGAAGAGACCCCCACATCCCAGTGTTCCTTTCTCTCTCCACTGGTGTCGAATTTGCATGACCGCACCCGCTGCCTCTCCCTTAACCCTTCCCTATGGCAACTGAACATACTGGAGGAGGTCGGGGGACTGACTCAACGTGATGGAAGTTGTAGTTCACCCGGCATCAAGACACAGAACTGCGACCCCCAATGACAATGAACCTGGACCAAACTTGGCACACAGACCCAACATGGTTGGGGGTGATTGTCTTTGGCATATGGGAGTTGTAGTTCACCCGCATCAAGACACAGAACTGCGACCCCCAATGACAATGAACCTGGACCAAACTTGGCACACAGACCCAACATGGTCAACTTTGGGGGTGATTGTCTTTGGCATATGGGAGTTGTAGTTCACCCGCATCAAGACACAGAACTGCGACCCCCAATGACAATGAACCTGGACCAAACTTGGCACACAGACCCAACAACTTTGGGGGTGATTGTCTTGGCATATGGGAGTTATAGTTCACCCGCATGAAGAGAACACTGAGCGCAGTCAACGTCAGATCTGGACCAAACTTGGCACACAGACCCAACATGGCCAACTTTGGGGGTGATTGTCTTTGGCATATGGGAGCTGTAGTTCACCCGCATCAAGACACAGAACTGCGACCCCCAATGACAATGAACCTGGACCAAGCTTGGCACACAGACCCAACATGGCCAACTTTGGGGGTGATTGTCTTTGGCATATGGGAGCTGTAGTTCACCCACCCAAAGAGAACACTGAGCATAGTTAACGTCGGATCTGGACCAAACTTGGCACACAGACCCAACATGGTCAACTTTGGGGGTGATTGTCTTTGGCATATGGGAGTTGTAGTTCACCCGCTTCAAGACACAGAACTGCGACCCCCAATGACAATGAACCCGGGCCAGACTTGGCACACAGACCCAACATGGCCAACTCTGGGGGTGATTGTCTTTGGCATATGGGAGTTGTAGTTCACCCGCATCAAGACACAGAACTGCGACCCCCAATGACAATGAACCTGGACCAAACTTGGCACACAGACCCAACAACTTTGGGGGTGATTGTCTTGGCATATGGGAGTTATAGTTCACCCGCATGAAGAGAACACTGAGCGCAGTCAACGTCAGATCTGGACCAAACTTGGCACACAGACCCAACATGGCCAACTTTGGGGGTGATTGTCTTTGGCATATGGGAGTTGTAGTTCACCCGCATCAAGACACAGAACTGCGACCCCCAATGACAATGAACCTGGACCAAGCTTGGCACACAGACCCAACATGGCCAACTTTGGGGGTGATTGTCTTTGGCATATGGGAGCTGTAGTTCACCCACCCAAAGAGAACACTGAGCATAGTTAACGTCGGATCTGGACCAAACTTGGCACACAGACCCAACATGGTCAACTTTGGGGGTGATTGTCTTTGGCATATGGGAGTTGTAGTTCACCCGCTTCAAGACACAGAACTGCGACCCCCAATGACAATGAACCTGGACCAAACTTGGCACACAGACCCAACAACTTTGGGGGTGATTGTCTTGGCATATGGGAGTTATAGTTCACCCGCATGAAGAGAACACTGAGCGCAGTCAACGTCAGATCTGGACCAAACTTGGCACACAGACCCAACATGGCCAACTCTGGGGGTGATTGTCTTTGGCATATGGGAGCTGTAGTTCACCCGCATCAAGACACAGAACTGCGACCCCCAATGACAATGAACCTGGACCAAACTTGGCACACAGACCCAACAACTCTGGGGGTGATTGTCTTTGGCATATGGGAGCTGTAGTTCACCCGCATCAAGACACAGAACTGCGACCCCCAATGACAATGAACCTGGGCCAAACTTGGCACACAGACCCAACAACTTTGGGGGTGATTGTCTTTGGCATATGGGAGTTGTAGTTCACCCGCATGAAGAGAACACTAAACATAGTCAATGCCAGATCTGGACCAAACTTGGCACACAGACCCAACATGGCCAACTTTGGGGGTGATTGTCTTTGGCATATGGGAGTTGTAGTTCACCCACACCAAGAGAACACTGAGCGCAGTCAACGCCAGATCTGGACCAAACTTGGCACACAGACCCAACATGGCCAACTTTGGGGGTGATTGTCTTTGGCATATGGGAGTTGTAGTTCACCCACACCAAGAGAACACTGAGCGCAGTCAACGTCAGATCTGGACCAAACTTGCCACACAGACCCAACATGGCCAACTTTGGGGGTGATTGTCTTTGGCATATGGGAGTTGTAGTTCACCCACACCAAGAGAACACTGAGCGCAGTCAACGTCAGATCTGGACCAAACTTGCCACACAGACCCAACATGGCCAACTTTGGGGGTGATTGTCTTTGGCATATGGGAGTTGTAGTTCACCCACACCAAGAGAACACTGAGTGCAGTCAACGTCAGATCTGGACCAAACTTGCCACACAGACCCAACATGGCCAACTTTGGGGGTGATTGTCTTTGGCATATGGGAGTTGTAGTTCACCCACACCAAGAGAACACTGAGTGCAGTCAACGTCAGATCTGGACCAAACTTGCCACACAGACCCAACATGGTCAACTTTGGGGGTGATTGTCTTTGGCATATGGGAGTTGTAGTTCACCCGCTTCAAGACACAGAACTGCGACCCCCAATGACAATGAACCCGGGCCAGACTTGGCACACAGACCCAACATGGCCAACTCTGGGGGTGATTGTCTTTGGCATATGGGAGTTGTAGTTCACCCACACGAAGAGAACACTGAGCGCAGTCAACGTCAGATCTGGACCAAACTTGGCACACAGACCCAACATGGCCAACTCTGGGGGTGATTGTCTTTGGCATATGGGAGCTGTAGTTCACCCGCATCAAGACACAGAACTGCGACCCCCAATGACAATGAACCTGGGCCAAACTTGGCACACAGACCCAACAACTTTGGGGGTGATTGTCTTTGGCATATGGGAGTTGTAGTTCACCCGCATGAAGAGAACACTAAACATAGTCAATGCCAGATCTGGACCAAACTTGGCACACAGACCCAACATGGCCAACTTTGGGGGTGATTGTCTTTGGCATATGGGAGTTGTAGTTCACCCACACCAAGAGAACACTGAGCGCAGTCAACGTCAGATCTGGACCAAACTTGGCACACAGACCCAACATGGCCAACTTTGGGGGTGATTGTCTTTGGCATATGGGAGTTGTAGTTCACCCACACCAAGAGAACACTGAGCGCAGTCAACGTCAGATCTGGACCAAACTTGCCACACAGACCCAACATGGCCAACTTTGGGGGTGATTGTCTTTGGCATATGGGAGTTGTAGTTCACCCACACCAAGAGAACACTGAGTGCAGTCAACGTCAGATCTGGACCAAACTTGCCACACAGACCCAACATGGCCAACTTTGGGGGTGATTGTCTTTGGCATATGGGAGTTGTAGTTCACCCACACCAAGAGAACACTGAGTGCAGTCAACGTCGGATCTGGACCAAACTTGCCACACAGACCCAACATGGTCAACTTTGGGGGTGATTGTCTTTGGCATATGGGAGTTGTAGTTCACCCGCTTCAAGACACAGAACTGCGACCCCCAATGACAATGAACCCGGGCCAGACTTGGCACACAGACCCAACATGGCCAACTCTGGGGGTGATTGTCTTTGGCATATGGGAGTTGTAGTTCACCCACACGAAGAGAACACTGAGCGCAGTCAACGTCAGATCTGGACCAAACTTGGCACACAGACCCAACATGGCCAACTCTGGGGGTGATTGTCTTTGGCATATGGGAGCTGTAGTTCACCCGCATCAAGACACAGAACTGCGACCCCCAATGACAATGAACCTGGGCCAAACTTGGCACACAGACCCAACAACTTTGGGGGTGATTGTCTTTGGCATATGGGAGTTGTAGTTCACCCGCATGAAGAGAACACTAAACATAGTCAATGCCAGATCTGGACCAAACTTGGCACACAGACCCAACATGGCCAACTTTGGGGGTGATTGTCTTTGGCATATGGGAGTTGTAGTTCACCCACACCAAGAGAACACTGAGCGCAGTCAACGTCAGATCTGGACCAAACTTGCCACACAGACCCAACATGGCCAACTTTGGGGGTGATTGTCTTTGGCATATGGGAGTTGTAGTTCACCCACACCAAGAGAACACTGAGTGCAGTCAACGTCAGATCTGGACCAAACTTGCCACACAGACCCAACATGGCCAACTTTGGGGGTGATTGTCTTTGGCATATGGGAGTTGTAGTTCACCCACACCAAGAGAACACTGAGCGCAGTCAACGTCAGATCTGGACCAAACTTGCCACACAGACCCAACATGGCCAACTTTGGGGGTGATTGTCTTTGGCATATGGGAGTTGTAGTTCACCCACACCAAGAGAACACTGAGCGCAGTCAACGTCAGATCTGGACCAAACTTGCCACACAGACCCAACATGGCCAACTTTGGGGGTGATTTTCTTTGGCATATGGGAGTTGTAGTTCACCCACACCAAGAGAACACTGAGTGCAGTCAACGTCAGATCTGGACCAAACTTGCCACACAGACCCAACATGGCCAACTTTGAATATTAGTGGGGTTTGGTATGATTGGACCACAATTTTTGGGAATTACAGTTCACCTACATCCTTATGCATTTTTAATGGGAGCATTCATAAAAAAAAACCCAGGAAAGACTGGCTTTTTTCTAAGAAACGAAGCTACAAATTAGCAAATGGATATTACCCAACACCCCAAAACAAACAATGCATTTTTCAAATAACCCAGGCATTGTCGGTTCCCAAGCCAGTAAATAATAATAATAATAATAATAATAATAATAATAATAATAATAATAATAATTATTATTATTATTATTATTGTTATTTTGTGTGACTGATGTGAGGCTGGCTCAGGCTTTTATATGGACATAATGATAATAATAATAATAATAATAATAATAATAATAATAACAATAATAATAATTGTTATTATTACCATATTATCATTATATAATCAGACTGGTTCATTCTCTGGTGAGATATAAAGGTTGAAGCAGGTATCCACTGGTATTAAAACTAACATTTATGACCACGTCTCATCCAAGTAACCCTTTGTCAAAATGAGAATGGCCCAAAACACCCTCCTGCATGGCTCCTGCTTGCCAAGAGATCCATAATCTTTTCCCCTTTCAGTGATATTGACCTGATGACGTCTCAGCCGAGCTTGTTTTCCTCTCGCTGTCGCTGATGTCCTGCAGATCTGAAAGCGGGTCCCGCTCTTCCGGCTTCTCCTCCTTCACTGTGAAAGGAAACAGAAGAGAGGGACTGGATGAGGGCCAACAGATTGGAACTAAATCCAGACAAGACAGAGGTCCTCCTGGTCAGTCGCAAGGCCGAACAGGGCATAGGGTTACAGCCTATGTTGCACACCCCCAGCTGCGCCCGTACCTTGGGAAGTCTGACTTGGCCACGGTAGTCCACGCTCTGGTTACATCCCGTTTAGACTACTGCAACACTCTCTACGTGGGGCGGCCTCTGAAGACTGCCAGGAAGCTTCAATCAGTCCAACAAGCGGCAGCCAGATTGCTAACAGGAGCGGGGTACAGAGACCATACGACCCCTCTGTTGCGTCAGCTCCACTGGCTGCCTATTAGCTTCCGTGCACAATTCAGAGTGCTGGTGTTGACCTATAAAGCCCTAAACGACTCTGGCCCAGTTTACCTGTCCGAACAGATTCTCCCCTATGAACCATCAAGGTTATCAATATCTTCTGGAGGGGGGAGGGCTGCTCTCAGTCCCACCACCTTCGCAATCGCGTCTGGTGGGGATGAGGGACAGAGCCTTCTCGGTGGTGGCTCCTCGGCTTTGGAACTCCCTCCCACTAGAGATTAGATCTGCTCCCTCCCTCCTGACCTTCAGGAAACTAATAAAGACCTGGCTTTGGAACGTGGCATTTGAGGACTGAATCTATAACCTTCGTCCACATGGAAGGAGGATGATGAACTGTGACTGTGACTGTATTGACGACTTGGTTTGGGTAATGTGATGATGATGGTTTTTTTTTATTGTACTTATATTTTAATGTGTAATGATGATGCACTGTGTTGTTTTTGTATATTATTGTGTTTGAACACATGTTGTGAACCGGCCTGAGTCCCTCGTTCGAGGTGAGAAGACCGGTATATAAAAC